GAGGACTACGTGGTTGCGGCGTCATACGCTCACCCTTAGCCTGCTTCAGCTCGGGATTCTGCGCCCGAGCCCCTGGACATCGACGCTATCGATGCGACGAGCAATCGTCAGCGTCATGTAGTGCGTCGAAGCGGTGCTCGGAACAATCGTTCTCTCACCTGCTTCCGCTGTCGGAAGGTCGGTCATCGCGCGGCGGAGTGCCGCGCGCCAGCTCCAGTGCTTGCGCATGTCGATGCCGAGCCCGTGAGTTCTGACCAGCCAAAAAACGGTCAGGGTCAGGAGGTGCGGGCGCCTTACTGGCTGGAATGGAGGTCCGGGTCCCCCGGTGGCAACCCAACCTCCTAGCCCTCCTGTGCTGCATGCACACTTTCATGCCACCACCACGCCGAGCGATTCAAGATTGATCATTGTCAGTCTTCATGTCGCCGGTGCGCGGCGACCACTGCGAGCGCTCCTTGATTCAGGAGCGACCAACAACTTCTTCCGCGCGTCGTACTTGTCGGTACTCACGTCGGACATCACTGTCCGCAAAGGTAGAGGGGAGGTCGCTGTCAAGTTGGCCGATGGGAAATCACGCCGCGTCGTGTGGTGAAGTGCTTTCTCAGAAATAAGAGAATTGGCCTGACGCGGGGTCACTATCCCGAATCAGTGACAATTTCAAGTGATTAGAGAGGATTTGGGTTGTCTGACACGGATGCAAGTTGCCTGTGGTGGATTAGCCATGACGAGCAGTGCCTCGTATGGAATGACAGTGGATCTGGTATGAGCGATGTACGAGAAGGCAAGATCCACCGAGACTTACCTCAGATCCACCCTTACCTGGATTCACTTAGATGGATATTAGATATACTATATGAGAGTGGATCGAGTGTGGATCCTGTGAACGAGTGACGGTAGGTGCCCTCTGAAGGTGGATCTAGTAGCCACGGCTAACAAGAAGTCAAGATCCACCACGAGGTACCCCGAATCCCATACTTCCGAGTTCGGATCCAAGGAGGGAGGATCCCGCATAGGGGGACCTGGATCCAGGGTACAGGGATGATGGATGCAGTGGATCTCGAACTTTCGTGGGACAATGGAGATCACAGACGGTTGCGAGATGATGTTGGATGATTGGAGAGCTCAGATCCACGACGAGTGTCCACTTACAGTGAAGTGGATCCAAGCAGCCTGAACCCGGATGCGTGTACCCATAACAGGGTGACCGTAATGATTACGCCAGGGATCCGGTGGATCTGAAGATAATACAGCTGGGATGATGGGTCAAGGGAAGGAAGGACATGCAGTCGAGCTTGGTAAGAGATTTAACAAGTGAAAGACATAGAAGGTAGAAATCCAGGCAGGTATAAGCTTAAGTATCAATACAGAACCTCATTTGCACCATAACACGCAAGTGCCTTCCTGCCCTCAAGAACCGGAACTACATTGGCCGTACGAGCTCGGAGAAGGTTGGGAATTCCGAATCTAGTGTTGGTAGTGATAACTGGATAATACATTGGCCAGTTCCTACAACCTAGTAAGCTTTCCCATGCACGTGCAGATCCGACAGGTTAACCGAATTTACTACTTGGTCGGTTATACCCTAGAGGCTCTCAACTCTCAAGATCCCGTCACAGGAGGCGGCAAGTACGTCGCAAAGGAACTACTAAGGCAAGGGAGCACACCCGCAAGGCAACCCTACGGCCAGATCCACGATCTAGGCCCCGGATCCATAAGCTCGAATATTCGCTTAGGATACGGAACTATCCACGGACGCAGAGTGAAGATTTTCCACTGCTGCTCCACCCCATCCCCACGTCTCGCCAAGACACTCAAGCTTCACCACTTGAACTCTTCGGAAGTTACCGAGAGAGCAGATCCCGCCCTACCGACGGGTACACAAGGTGAGGAAAGTTCAGCAGAACACGGATCATCGGGGGACCCCCTCCGTTAGTCGGTGTCTGGGCGCAGTTGGTAAGTTGGATCTGGCAATCTCGCAGATTTTGCTGATCCCGCTACACCACAATGGTGCGCGTGCCCGGATCTTTTGGTGACTCGGGATTTTACCGTGAGTCCCAAGAAGATGCTCAAGTGAAGATTGAGCCAGGGGAAGAGGCGTCGTCGGAGGTCGGATCGACGAAGACGCTGCTGAATGAAACAAGATCCGCGGATCGATGGAGTTTTGGGAGGAACTCTGTCGACGGAAGAGAGGTGGATCCGGATCCGGATCTAGAAGAGAAACCTCTCTATCCTCCCCAGGTCCCCTCGGGGACCCCTGCGGATCTTGACGCAAGTCAAGATCCGCTAACAAAACAAGGGAAAGTGAAGGCGAAACGGTATGCATTTGCAGATTCACCGGTTAAGCCAACACCGTACCTAAACCCAAGTCCGCTAGTCGAAGAAACAAGAAAGAAGACGAAAACGAGTAAGACTACGCGGAAGAAGGTGCAAGCTCCAGAGTCGGAAGAAGACCAAGCTGGATCCAGGGTCAAGCTGGTCCGACAAGGATCTCGAGTTTGTGTATCGCCACCAAGCTCTACGCGATTTTCT